TTCGTCTTTCGCTCCCTCTCTCTCTCTCTCTATGGTCTGACGGACAGCATCAATAACCTGCAGGCCCCTAACTAAGACTCTAACGTAGCACCCGAATGCCCGATACTAAAACACTGGAGCCCTAAAAGTCGTGCTGGTTGCGTTCCCGACCCCTTGAGGGCCAAGCCGGAAGGCGTCGAGCACGCCTGGCAGTGGGGCCGGGGAAGGGTGGAGGGTTTAGGGTTTAGGGTTCAGGGTTTAGGGGGTAAATCTAGGAGGAGTAGAAAAATACTGGTGCTAGAGCCATCGGGCTTCGGGCTCGGGACTAGATTTTGGGTGGTTAAGGTCCAGGGTTTAGTGGGTCTGGAGGGTTTAATTCTTGGGGTTAAGGTGCAGGGCTTTGAGGGCTTGGGTGGTTGAGGCTCATTCTGTAGCAAACGGGTCCGTAGGATCTAGCTTTGGCAGCTATGAACACCAAAAAAACCCACCCGAAATCGCGACAGGTGCGTGAACGCAGGACGTGCTGAGCTAGAAGGACGCTGCATGCAGCCGCAAGACCAACAGGGATCGAACCCTCAGAGCGGTGCACCATGACATGTGCCGGGCTCCGTGCTACGGCCTACACCCTATTAAATCCTGAAAGAACCCTGAGCCCGTTAAAGGAGCTAAATGCAGGAGAGTGGCCTATTCACAAAGCCGTAACAGGGCCCTGTCGGCTTTAGGGTTATCAGGTCTTCGGCTTTAGGAACAAGGGGCCTTTTAAACCCTAAACCCTAAACCCTAAACCCTAAACCCTAAACCCTAAACCCTAAACCCTAAACCCTAAACCCTACACTTACAGAGCTTAGAGGCTTTAGGAATTAGGGCTCCGTCCCGCCGAGCAGTTGGGGCCTCTGAGGCCCTGCAGTTGGCCAAGGGCATCCCGGAGGCTGCCCGAATGGACCTTTTGGGGTCTGCAGAAAGGAAGGGTTTAGGGTTTAGGGTTTAGGGTTTAGGGTTTAGGGTTTAGGGTTTAGGGTTTAGGGTTTAGGGTTTAGGGTTTAGGGTTTGGGGTTTGGGGTTTGGGGTTTGGGGTTTGGGGTTTGGGGTTTGGGGTTTGGGGTTTGGGGTTTGGGGTTTAGGGTTTAGGGTTTTGGGGGTTCATGCCTTGGTTCTGGATCGAATGTATAGGGGCCTTAATAATTAGAATAAGGTTTTGGGGCTTTAGTATAGTATAGTTATAAAAGGACCCTAAGGGAATACTATTCGCAATTATTCCGACCCCCTTAGTAGGTTTCCAGGAACCTAGAAGACAAACAAAAAGTACAATTGTTCAGGCTTTGGCTTTGTTTAGGGTTTTTTGTTTTAACCTTGGAGGACGGTGCGCGCTCAGGGTAGAGGCTTAAGCTTTTTGCTGCCTAGGTTCCTCAGAAACCTAGGAAGAACAGAGGGTTCCATGCGTTTGCTTTTTTGCGGGTCTGGGGGTTTAAGGAAAATAGGGTTTAGGTGCCTGTTTGCTGTATCGGCATTTGGGAATAGAAGGGTGCTGTTGGCCATCTTCGATGGCCTTACCTTTACTACTGATGGAAAGGAAAACAATAGCCTCTAGAGGCAATGCTTAATTAATCTTATGTATTTAGCATCTATCAAAAGCGACTACATGGCATGTGTATTTCTATGTTTCTTTATCTACACATGGTTGTTGCTTGTTCATTGTTGCTTCTTCAATATGTAGGGATTCGGGATCAGGGGTTTGCTGCAAAAAGTCTGTCCAAGGATTAAACCCAAAAGAAACCCTGAACCCTGAAACCTGAACCCTAAACCCAAAACCCTAAACCCTCCCCAACATTCCCCCATTTCAGGGCTCCCCCGCGAACTGCTCGCAGTCCTTCACCTTCCTGTCCCAGGAGTTCACCTCCCACCGCAAGCCGTGCACTAAGCTTAAGCGCTTGGGGTTGCGGTGTTTGGGCCAGTGAGTCTTGGGGTTTTCGGGTTGTGGTCTTGCAGGTGTGTGAGTTAGGGCATTGGGGATCCACACACACTTTGAATAAACCTTAAACCCTCAAAAGCCTCAGCCCTAGCAGCGACAAACTGTGCCAAGACGGCCTCCCGCAGTGCGCTCAGCGCCGTCTCGACCCGGGTCCTTTCAGGGCTGGGGGGCACTTTTTGAGTTGCAGGTCGAGGGTGTGGGCTTCTATCAGGTTGCAGAAGGTGAGGGTTCTCTAGGGGGTCGAGGATCGTCCTACAAGCTCACATAAGGCTTATACATACATACATACATACATACATACATACATACATACATACATACACAAATTGGTTTCTTTAAGGCCATGGTTTGTGTTGGGTTTGGTTAGGGCTTCGGTTGGCTTGAGGGTCTAAGACAAGTTAGCATCAGGAAGGGTTTGGGCTTCGGTTTTCTACATATCCCAAAAAGCCGCGTTTAAGACACAGAGCCAAGCTTCAGAAAATCTCGGGCTGAGAGGTGTAGGGTTTTTTCAGGGCTTAGGGTCCCGAATCAGCAGCCGAGAGGCGACGATTCTTTGCAGGCTTTGCAGTTGAGTGCTTAGGTGCAGCTTTAAGGTTGGGCTCCATGCTAGTTTTGAGCTGACTCTTGCATGTCTGTCAGACCTAGTTAATTACACTCTAAACCCAACACACCGACATCCCGAAGCAAACTTTAAAACCCGAAAACATGAAGCCCTATAGCCCCAGACCCTAAAGCCCTAAACGCAAGCAGGGCCCCTGGCTTCACCGCGTCGATCTCGGCCAGGCCACGCAGGCCAGAGCGCTTCTTGTCATCGGCGTCCTCAGCGATGGGAATAACTTGTTCAGGGGGTTAGGGCTTATAGGACTTAGTATGATCGACCTCACTGTGGAATCCTTACAATAACAAGAATAGAGTGACGGTAAGGACAATCATGAGAAAGATGGGGCTTGAGCGGATGCCAGTAATGGAGTTCAGGGATTTAGAACTTCTCCTTCTGCAGGCGACACCCAAACCTCGTCACGAAATTTACCTGAGGCTCCCTTTCAAAGGATTAAGATTATATACTCCTATCATGGCCCTTCTATTCCCTGAGAGGGATCTGTAAAAAGGGTCCCCAAACTCAAGGGTACAACCGTAGGGGTCCAAGGTAGAAATCCATGATCCCCAAACCCTCCTTGAAAAAGACCATAAGCCCCGAATCCTCTTGTCCGGCCCGATCCTTGAGCCCCTCGAGCACTTGCCCCAGGCGCGCATGACCGCTCAGCGCCTGGCAGAGAAAAAGGCCATGGGCTTGGGGTTTGGGGTTTTGGGTTGGGCGTGGGGCCGGGGGTGTGCGGGGGGGCAAAAAGGTTTGAACATTGCTTACGGCTTGAGGGCGTTCTAAGGGTGATTCTAGAGTTTGTTCTGAAGGGTCTTTGACTGTAGGGTTTAGGGGTGCACCCTAAACCCTACACGTCAAGTTATGGTTTAAGGCATGTTTTGCTTGCTGGTGCTGAAGGGAGACTGGGAGTTTAGGAGCAATAATAAGGATCCACTCCAAGCGGTTAGGGTTTAGGGCTTAGGGTTCACATTGAACAAGAGGACCCATGGGCAAGAGAGAAAGAGAGAGAGAGAGAGAGAGAGAGCGAGAGAGAGAGAGATTCAGGCTCAGATGCGCCCCTCCCCCCATCGTAGAAACAGTCTCTGACATAGATCATGCATATTCCTAGAAACCGCAAAGGGGAAAACCTCAGGAGGCATTGGGGCTTCTCAGGCTCCAGAGGAAGGACAGGTTGCTTGGTATAATTTTGGGGCTTATAATTAGGGTTCATATAGGCTTAAGGGTCTAAGGCGTTGAGAGCCACGCAAACCCTCCAAATCCGAACTCTAGCAAGCACGGTGCCTCCTGTCTCATCTTCTCCAAGCCGCGACTCGAAGTTGCTAGCTGCGCAACCTGCTCTGCTACACCTACTTTGGGCATTTAGGGCCCAGGCTTGGGTGTGGGTATCGGTGAAGGTTTCTTCCTTGTCGAGTCTAGTTTCGTCAAGCGGAAGCGTGACCTTTTGGGTTCGATGGGGCTTCTGAAAGTTAGGGACGCTTTTTGGGGAGGATTCAACTACAGGCGGTGGTTCTGAATTGGGGGGGGGGGGGGCCTTTTTAACATGTGAGCTTGTCCAAGGAATCTGGCACAAAAGGTGAGGCTAGGGGATCCGGGCTTGAGGGCTCACAAGTCCTGCACCAGCCCCCCCCCCCCCCCCCTAAACCCTCAACCCTAACCCTAAACCCTAAACCTTAAACCTTCAACCTTAAACTTAAACCCTAACCCTAAACCCCCTTTGAGGCCGGCGCCAGCTGGTTGCTTGCCAGCTCGATGGCCTCGGAGGTGTCTTGGCACAGCAGCTGACCTGCGTAGGAGGCGTGTGGACTCTACGTAGCACCTCCTAGCGAGCTTAGAGAACCTGGAGGTTTAGGGTTTAGGGTTTAGGGCATAGGGTTTGTAGGGTTTGCAGGGTTTGTAGGGCTTGCAGAGTTTACAGGGTTTGCAGGGTTTGCAGGGCTTGCAGTTTAGGGTTTCTAGGGTTGAGGGGTTTAGGGTTTACCTGAAGCCTGAACCCTTAACCCCCAGGCCGCGGATTCTCTCCCGGAACCCGATTCTAAGGAAATCAGCCCAGACTCTGAACCCCTAAGCGCATATATAGCACCCCCCCAGTGGTGCCCTGTTGATCCCTTGTTGACTGCTTTTGTTCAAGTATCTCAGGTGCGGTCGCCCCGTTTAAGATCTTTCGGACATCTACCCCAAAACCAGCTCTCGAGCTGATCTATATATATATATATATATACATAAATACACTCAGTACACGCATGAAATCTTGCTGTACGGACCTACATGTTCTGTGACCGTGTGTAGGTCACTCGGCTCGATCTCAGACCTAATCAGCATTTGTGAAGCAATGGTGTTTGCACCAGGCCCTGTCACTAGCGACACACACCGAGTACATACCAGGCAATTTTTTTTGTCCGGGGCTTCGAGTCACATGGCTATAGCTCAAGCTGGCACAAATGAAGTACCGATTCATGGTAGAGGCAGAGCCTCCTCTTGGACAGAAGTGAAGAACGCAACAGCTGCCACGACACACTCCTGTGGCTGCTCGTATGCAAGCATGTGTCCAGCATTCGCGACCTCGACAAGCCTCACCCGGTCCTCAAACTGTCTCTTCAGCTCACGACCATTCTCCACCGGGGCCATTTTGTCCTCCAGACCTTGAACTACCAGCAGCGGAGCCTCGCCACCCCCCCACCACACATCTCGGTCTGGAGCCTTCGCACGTTCGGTCACAGACGGAATCATCCCCGCGGCCTGGGCCTGCAGCACCGACTCCACGAAGTCACGCACACGCGCGTCGCCTGTCGCCGGTGCGAACATGCACGCCTTCACGAGGCGCACGCGCTCCTCCTCGCTCATGGAAGCCTGAGGTGATGTCGCCTCGCCTGCTCGACGGAGTGTCTCTGCGTCGACAGTCGGCCCGTGCAGCCCTCCTGCTGCAAGGAGCACCACACTCCTCACAAGCGGTCCGTATCGTGCAGCGACCAGCCGCATCACCCTGTTGCCACCCGCCCATCCCACCAAGTGGGCCCGCTCTTTTCCCAGCTGTCTCAGAGCGTTAACAACATCCAGTGCGTTACTCTCCATACCGACATTTTCCATGCTTCCGGCCCCTCCTCCGTAGCCTCTGGTGTTCAAAGCAACAACAAAGAATCCTCTGGCAGCAAGCCGGTCAGCAAAGTCTCCGTATCGAGGCATCACAAGACCACCGCCTCCCGCGATACACAAGACCAAGTCGTCTGTCTGCTTTCCCCATGTGAAGCCCGTCAGCGCAGTGCCCTCGCCATCCTCCAAGAAGAGACGAATGGACGTCATCAGATGAAGTGATCTCGCACTAGAGCGTGCGCAGAGCTAAACGTCCTATTTTTGCCCACATGATACCTGCATGCAGAAATGAGGCGACGAGTTGCCGATCGCCACACGCAAGAAGTAACGTACTCTGTCCATTCATGCAATCGTTATTGGGATGTACTCTGCCTACGTCGCCGTTTAAGTGTCTACGGGTGCGTATCGAAAATTTGTTGGATACCTGCCGTACCTGCTCGCATCTCTTCGAGCACTCGGCTTATCGAAGGTGTAGGAGGTCGATTGTCGAGGGCCAATGGTCTAAAGCAGCCGACACAGTCTCACAGGGGGCCACTGGGCCCATTTGAGGGGCCTGCCTTCGACAGTTTCGGGTTTAGGAGGGTTAAGGACTTAGATTCAGATGTAATTATAGGGTTTATATAAGGTTTGTGAAAGGGTGTCCCAGCGTCAGAACGTAAACTTCACCAACACATAAACCTTGCATGCGCCTTTTAAGGTTTAGAGCACAACACACCCTCCTTCCAAGAAGACAACAAAGCGGGGGAAGAGCGTTCCGGATAGAGCTTGCCCTAAAACGGGATTAGGTACAGCAGGAAACCAGGAAACCTGAGGCACTGACAACTCATTCCCAGCGAGGACCTGGGTCTCTTCGTGAGCACTTTCTGTTTAGGGCTCAGGGCTTCAAGTGTCGCAACCTTTTTTCAAACCACCAAGCCCGGGACTTGGGGTTTAGGGGTTCAGGGGTTCAGGGCCATTTTTAGCGTTTAGGATTTTCACAAGGGTTTACAGGGTTTGGGTTTTGGGTTATGTAGAATTTGGGGTTTCGGGTTTAGGGCTTGAAGTTTAGAACGCTTGCGGTTGAGTGCTGTGGCTCAGACAAGTGCTGGTCCAGCTTGTCAAAGGGCACATGGCTCCTCGCGAGCCTGGAGGAAAAGACAGTCGTCTTGTTTCCGAAGCTCTTAACCCTAAACTCAAACCTTGGGGTGTGTCCCCTTATACCAACAGTCCTTCATAGGGATTATCGTACCCCCTAGTATAATCCCCATTACAGGTTAGTATAAGGGCGAACATCCCAACTCAAACCCTTTAACAACCCAGACCCCTGAAAGGGCCTACCCCAAACCCTCCCCGGTCTCAACAAACCCTGACGCAAGTCCTCAGGGCTTTGCAGTTTCACTACTAGGGTTGAAGATTTCAGGGTTTCATGCTTTAGGCGATTCAGCATCCTGCCGGGGGAAACTTGCAGGCTGAGGCGGCCCCAGCTTTCGGGCATTAGGGTCTTACGGGCTGATGGGGTTGAGCTGCGGCGGATATTTGGGGTTTTGGGCTTAGGACTCATCCTCCCAGGGCCTACAAAGCTACAAAGCCTAAAGCCTAAATCCTAAACCTCCACTAAGCTTTAAAACCCTCGAGTTTCGTTTCTCCTTCGGCACGTACCCCAAAACACGACAGCCTCAACCATGAGAAGGCCAATGAAGGCGCGTCGTCCAGAATATTTGCATCAACGTTCCGCCCAAGACTTTTGATACATGCTTGTACATTTAGTTGCTGCACCAGGTCGAAAGACCATGTAAACCCATGGGCAAGACGTCCATACCGGGACTTATCGAAGTCTGAGGATGTAATCCTTGAAGTTCTTCAGGGACACCGCTCGCGCATATTTGCATGGCGTCACCGAGCGTGAGGTCATAGCCGAGGCAAAAGTAGGGTCGTAGTATGGAAGGTAAACGACAAGCATAAAACCAATCCTCCGCAATGTATAAGTCTTGGTCTCGTGGGATTTTCCAGGTCACCCAGCGCTGGCTGCCCCAGTCTCGCCCAAGCACTACCCACTACCATGGATATCCCAAAGGGCCCGGAGGTTCGGCTTTTACTCGAAACCGCCCCTGGAACACTACCCTCAACCCTGAAGCCCTGAGACGCGAAACCTTTGTCACATTCTAAAGTTCGGTCCGACCAGGAATCATCCAGGGGGGTAAAACATTTAGTGCGCAAACCCTAAGGTCTAAAACCGGAACCTCAAAACTCAAAACCTTTGGAACCCAAACCTAAATCCACATTCCTTGACAGCAACCCAGGACATGCTGTGAATCTGTTGAATTCGTCAATGGCAGGCCGTTGCCACCTGAAGAAAAGAAGCAACACAAAAGAAAACCTAAAGTCCTGATCCCAAGCCCATAAACAAGCGGAAGCCCCAAAACCAAACTCCCCTAAAGCAAAAACCCAATCAAGACTCTAACGCCCAACCCCAAACGAAGACTCCCGCGCCTCGCATTGAGCCAGGCGACAGGATCAAAGGCCTCCGAGCTCTGAAAGCAGGTTTTTTGGGTTTAGGGTTTTGGGTTTAGGTTTCAGGGATTTAGGGTTTAGGCTAGGGTTCAAGGGTTAAACCGTCGAGGTTGTTTTTTATGCGGCTGACTCGTTGAAAAGTCGAGGTGCATATGGGGCAATGTAGCAACACTCGTTCCTCCTACAGGTATATGTTAGGATGAAACCCAAAATCAAAAATCCTACACTGCAATGATGAAGGCAAGCACGGCTCTACTGCGTCCGGTATTCCCTCCTAAGCTCGCGACAGTCTTTAGTTAGTTTCAGGTTAAGGTTTCGCCCTTAATTGTCTTTGAAGCGATCAAACCAAGAAAGCTTCCCCCTGCCCAGCATCCGCATCGAACGGAAGTTGCCAGATCAAAGCCCGGTGAGCCCAGCAGTCACCTCTTCCATTCCCTCCCGATGCGAGGAAACTATTAGTTGAAACACGTTGGGCATTCCGTGGCTCTTCTGTGTCAGGATCAGCCACCTCGGAGGTAATGGGTCTCCAAGCAGTGGAGGTATCGTCGCCACCACGCAAGCCAGCTACACCGGAGCATATCAGCCGCTGTTTTGCGAAACTCCTGGACGTCTATCCGAAGCTGCAGAGTGCAGACAGCCTGAGAGAAACAACCAACCCAACTGCTGTAGAGTGCTTAAATAGGTCGTCGTGCAAATCGAACTGCCCATTGGGCCCAAGGGTTCCCTGTGCATGCGGTAGACTTGAACTCCGAATGGAGCCGCAACTGAAAGCGAGCTTGCCAGGGACCCCGAGCCAGCTCTCCGTCCGGGACACGCAAACATTGTCAAGTTTTCACCCGAGCGCAAAAATGGCCAACAGTCAGGGCTTCGAAACTAATCTCGGACATTCGGAATCTCGGACCTCGAAGAACCAAATGACATCAAATGACTGGTATTGTGCAATGCCTTTTCGTATAATTGGCCAACAAAAGAATTAGAACTTCGAACGGCGAATGCACATGCACCCATATCCCAGTGTAAGTGTATACGTCCTTTGCCGTATACGCATAACATACAACCGTCGTCGGTCCACGTCTGGCGTTCCGGAGTCTGAATTTCTGAGTCCTCGGTGTCCTGAGACAATCGGGAAATCGGGAATCTGGAGTCTGCATTCCGGAACTGGAACCCGAACTGGAACTACTGCATCCATGCCCGGAAAGGAAAGATGATTACGTCCCAGTGGCGAGTACAGGCCCAGTCTGGAGTTTAGGCTCTTTAGGGTTTCGGTTTCGGGTAGTCTTGGTCTGGGCCCGCGTTTCAAGCCTCAAACCCTAAACAAAGAAGGAAAAGCCTGAGCAGCCTAGGGCCTAGGTAAATGCCGCTGGCCTCTGTTGGAGAAGCGGAATGGAAGTCCTGCAACAAGGAGGTTTCTCAGAGGCTTCTGGGTTTTCCAGGGCCTGAACCGCCTTAAGCCCTAAACCATTGGGGCATCAGGGTTCCGTAACCCTAAACCCTAAACCCTAAACCCTAAGCCCTAAACCCTAAACCCTAAACCCTAAACCCTAAACCCTAAACCCTAAACCCTGAACCCAACCCTAAACCCTAAACGTAGGGAGACTCAGATGCACGGCGGAGCTTGTAGCCACAGTTGCGTTAGATGGAACTTAAGGAGACATTTACTGTATGGGGGGGGAGGCTAACCATACCGACAGCCCTGCACCAGGGAAGTGTTTTTGATCTGAGGGTCTAACGGTCTAACGTCACGGGGCTTAGGGGGTTATCGGTTATAGGCTTTCAGGGAAACGGGGTTTCAGGGAAACGGGGTTCAGGCAAGCCTGAACCGTCAGAAAGCCCCTGTAGTGCCTAAATATCCAGAACCCAACCCCTAAGCCCTACCTAAAGACCCTAAACCCAGCAAACCTTAAACCCCATAACAAGGCTACAAGCCCTAAACCCTGAAAGCCCTGAAGCCCTGCGCCTCAACAACCAAGCGCTCAGGGCCCTCTGAAGCCATGCCGGGTCCAAGGGGCTTCAGGGCACGAGGCGAAGAGTTATTGAAAGCTCGTGGAGGGATTGTTTAGGGTTTAGGGTTTAGGGCTTCGGGTTTAAGGTTTAGGGTTCAGCTCTGTTGTTTTGGGGGGTGAGAGGGGTGGGCTCGGTGCATGATCTAGGTTGCTCGTGCTGCCGGCTCTAAAGCTGTAGAGTCGTTCTGGGCTGGTTGGGGTGCCAAGCTGCCTGTATCCAGGACTCTTTGCTAACCAACCAACCCTTAAAAATGAGGACCCTCGAAACAAAGTAGAAGAGCTTCTCTCTTCCAGGTTTAGGGCTGGGTGGGCGGGAGGGTTATTGCAAGCCCTAAACCCTAACCCTAAACCCTAAACCCTAAACTCGAACTGCTGGTGGGGCTGAAAGCCCTAAGAGGCCCAAACGAAGCCGGGAGCGGCGACGCTTTCCACGCATGCTGGGGGTTTAGGGTCTAGGGTTTAGGGTTTAGGGTTCAGGGTTTAGGGTTCAGGGTCTTTGGGGTTTCGGTTTGAAGACGTTTCGGGCTTGGGGTTTAGGACTGAGGGTTTCGGGCTGAGGGTTACTCACCGAGCTGGGAACCGAGACGAACTGAACTAAGAGTACACCCTTGCAGTAGGCTTGCTGTCTGAAGGGGATCGGACATGATTACTCTAAACCTGATTACCCTAAACCCTTAACCCTAAACCCTAAACCCTAAATTCAAAGTCAGGGGCCCCAGGGTTGAGGGTCCGAGGTGTCATCTGCGGTGATTTCCGTCCAGGGCGGCTGCAGGCTTAGGGCCTAAAATATCCAGGCTTTTCAGGGGCCTAACACAAAAAGGGTGCCAGTCTTTTGTTGGAATGGAATGTACCACAAAACAGACCCCCCCCCCCCCACCAAAAAAAAACAACAACAGTGCGACCCGGCATCCTTTAACTGTTCGACTCGGTTGGCCCGTACAACCCTCGGAAGACATGTTCGCAAAATGAGAGCCTCCTAAGCTAGGCCAGGGAGAGGATCAACTCGGCCCAAGGGCCTGCCTCGTAGAAGGGGAAGGGCATGTACGAAGACAGGGAGAACCAATTTTCCCCCATGTTTGGTGCATTGACCGACTCCCAACCCTGGGGAACCAAACGAAAAGGAGGGATGTTGAGAGCTGCGAGGCGAGTGCCTTCGACTGCCTGTGCGCCTCGAGTTTCGCAGCTCGTTGGATTAGGGCTGGGGGCTTGAAGCTAGGATGTTAACGCTAAAGTCTAGAACCGTCGCCCTAAACCCTAAACCCTAAAGTCCAATCCGATAAACAGGTAAACCCTAAACCCAGAGTAGCTTTCGGATTTTTAGTTTGGGGGCTTAGGCGTCGAGGTGCTCAGTTCACTGGGTGAAGCCCGATTTTGTCCCAAACAACCAAAAAGCTTAGGGCCGCTAGGATCTGGGGCGAAGCCTAGAGATCGTTTTGCTGTAGGCGGCGCGTGTCGGGCGGTATCAGACGCTTCGCAGCAGTCTGGCACATCTCAGGCTCCACCCTTAAAACCCTCTAGGCCCCAAAGTAACCTGGAAAAAACAGGCACCCCATACACCCTAAACCCTAAAGACCTTATAGACCCGAAACCTTGAAGAGCGGACTCTAAACAAAAAACCCTAGACCTGTTGAAAGGGGCTCAGAAGGAACAAGGGCCTGGGATCTTGAGATTGTGGTGCCCGAGCCCTCGTGCAAACTAGTGACATGAACTGTGGGGTTTAGGGTTTGCGTTCAGGGTTTGGGGTAGGGGCTTCGAGGGAGTACAGGGTCTTGCTCTCAAGGCTCATTTAAAGGTCCTCTTGCCCTCAAAGCAACACCTGTGCAGCTTAGGGTTTAGGGTTTAGGGTTTAGGGTTTAGGGTTTAGGGTTTAGGGTTTAGGGTTTAGGGTTCACCCAAGATTCTAAACCCTTAGCCTTCCAAACTCAAAAGCCATTGGCAACCTTCGAGATGGCCTCGTGCGCGCTTGGATCGGAAAATGGGCACTGGGAATCGTATCCCTTGCAGCGGCTAATATGGGCATTTCCCAACGTAGGATGGTATTTCACAATATCCCGCAAAACAATGTAATCCGCTTTTTTGGAACCCCCACAAAGGGTACCCTTTCTTCGGAAACCCCCATATAGGGGCCTGTTGAACCGGAACTGAAGTTTTAGGATTTAGGGGTTCAAGCGGTTTTGGGTGTAGGGCGGCTTGGCCTATTGAAATAGGATGATGAAAGTAGGAACATTGTGAAGGCTCCCGTATTAGCGGCCAGGCCTAGTGACTGAGCGGCCAGCTATACCTCGCGGTCAGTTTCGTGATCGCGAAGCTTGAAAGGATATCTCTTTGAGACCTTTTGTGGTCGGCATGGACCGTCAGGAAAACCTCTAGCATCCAGCCAAGCCAAGCTCTGCCCTGCCCAATCAGACCACGGTTCCATACGTGACGGTTTTAAATTTTAGGTCTCAGTCTTCTATAGGGATTTGGGTTTGGGGCGTCAAAATAAAGTACCCAGCACCCTAAACCCCAGATATTTGTCAATAAAACGGACAGCCCACGGACAGTTTGTGGGCTTTCTGCAAGGTACTATTAGATGGGTTAGAACTATGTAAGGGGTCTATGATCAACCCATCCAACTGAGACGGTCCTAAACTTTCAACCCTTCATTGGTGGAACTGGCAGGGCCTGCACAGCGACGAGCACCTCGTCGCGCTTTTCGCTGACCGTCGCAAAATGCAGTGCAGGGCTCTCGTGCGCTTGTGACGCGTGGGGCTTCGGGTTTAGCTTAGGGTTTAGAAGTTTAGGGCCCTGGATCTTAGATCTAAGGAACCCCCAGCGTAAGCCTGTAATCTCAAGAGCAGCATCACTCCCCTGGACCTAAATGTTTGTGGAAGGGGCTTCGGGCTCCCTTGCAGCGGCAAGCTTGGGTACCAAACCCAGAGGATCCAAAATGCCCAAAGTAGGTATCAGTAGACTTTCGACCCCAAGGTACGTGTGATCTGGAAACTTGGGGTCCTAACCCTAAGCTCTGAACAACACCGAAAATACTATTGCCCTGATTCCTACTGAACTTGTGATCCACGAGTTGCAGGGGCTGAGGCGAAGATTTGGCCACAGTAGACCCTAAAGCCTAAAGCCCTACACCCTAACCCTCCCTCCCATTCAATCGCAAGCCCTAAGTGTTCCATAGGGTGTTGGTTGGCAGGACTGGGACGCGGAGCCCTGATTCCTGGAAAATAACAAGGCACCTGTGAGTGCGAAAATGGATGAAAATGGGCAGTTGGTGCTGCGGACACGCCCGAAGATCGTGCGATCTAAGCCTAGGGCTCAGGGTTGGGTATGGGGTATAGGGTTTAGTGCCTGAGGTTCCATTGAAACCCACAAGCCCCGAAACTTTGGCACAAAGCTTGAAAGGTGAACTCATGGGACTTACACTAACACCTTGAACTCCTGCACTCCCCATCTAAAGTACACATGAGCACAAACAAACACACACACACACACACATCGGAGTCTTGAAAGTCAATCGCATGCCCTCACACTCACATCTGCGGCCGATATCAAAGGCCAGACTCAGACCCCCAAGGAACCCTGCCACAGCCACTGTTCATGCCAGAGATGGGGGCTCTAAACTCAAAAGGCCCTATAAACCCTAAACCCCCGACCGGGGCAAATAAATTTTGACCGCCAGGAGACGATGACGGGCACAACCCAAACTGGGACAGAAAACGAAGACCTGCGATCCAGGAGGACGAGTTTGGAGCAAAATAACATTGTGGAGAAGTGATGCCAGCACTAGTAACTAATACACATACTCAGACGCTTACGAATGCTGATTCAAAATGTGTTATGCTCTCGCGGGCACACAAAAGAGGGACTAGGGCTGAGGGTTCAGAGACTTCGGCCCTCTGATGCTAACCTACGCCAGATGCGCTCGCTGCAGATTTTCGGATGTGATGAACTGTTAGGCAGCAAGCGGCAAGCCGTATTTGGCAAGCCACCACGCCCTTGCCAAACACGCGGATGGCGGGGAGGGCCGCATTGAGGTGTAGCAGATTCGCATGGTTTAGGCTTCAGGGCCGTTGATGGACGGATCATGGTCAGCGCTTCTCCGGGTGCCAGGGTGTGTGTGTGTGTGTGCACTTTTGGGGTACCTATTGGAAAACGGACACTTCTAATTACTTAGAGTACACCAAGAGGGGCCATAAGTTGGGCCCGCGCTCCACCCGCGGGAGAATCCTTTTTCAAACATAAAGCCAACAGAAAAGAGCAGCTTGAAAAGCGCTCCGCCTGTGCTGGCCGTGCATATGTCAAAAGCCAAGACACCCAAACCTTCAACGTGCAACCTAACATCATACCGCCGTAACCCTCAAACCCTTTAAGTCGTCTCTGCCAAAGCCCCCCTCTCCCCCAACCTGCGACCTGTGTCGGCTCTGAAGCACACAGCGATGAGCCCTGTCGCCACACCGATCCGCTCAGGACCTTGGGGTTCAGGGTTCAGGGCTTAGGGTCTGGAAGGTGTTGTTTCCCAAGTCTGGCCGGGGCCCTAAGGCAATTCTGGGAGGTCAAGCTGCCGAAATCCGACGGCGTGTGCCGGCAAGCAGTGATTATGTGAACATTTGCCTTGTGGGGGTCCTCAGGGGAAGCGGAACCTATGAGGGGGAAACGCTTCGTCGCAAAGAAGTGCATCATGGTGCATCTTTTTCTAAAACTCCGAAGAAACCTCAAGGAATTTCGAACGACAACAGCGCTAGTTAACTCCCCATGCTAGAAACAAATTTTTCCAGTACCCTAAGAATGGCAGAGGCAGTTTTAGTGTTTCACTGGAGCCTAACCCTAAGCAAGAAAACGCGAACATTACTGGGCGTCCTTGTCTTGACCTCGGAAGCCCAAGATTAAGGGGTACTTAGGGCTGAGATGACAGCCATTCGGGCTTATAGGCCAAAGCCTAGCTGCTAAGCCCTTGGCCCCAACGCCTAAACCCTGAAGCCCGGGTACGGCTTCAAGGTCCAGGCCTCCACGACCGGCTGGACAGGAACTGAGCCTGGAGTTGCTCACGGCGCTCCTGCGGAGGTGTGCGACGACGCAGGACACTGGGGAGTGGTCTTGGAGTGATCCTGCTGTCTTGACATGCTCTCTTTCGACATGAAAACTTGGCTAGGCTTCTATAGATAACTTGCTCCAGTTGGCGTTGGTGAGGTCTGTGAATCTGGATGTCCTGGGTGTGGGATTTAAGTGCTATCTTCATGCGGAGCTCTTGCAAATCCACCCCTTGGCTACTTGCAAAGATTTGGATCCTGCAGATTGCGGGGTCAAATTGTCGGAAACTCGCATTTGGTGGTTGTGCGCCTTGCGGTGCGTGTTTGAGCATCAGGTGTGACATGTACAGCATGGCTTGGCAGCATGTGGAGCACGTGCTTGCGAAACATGGTTTTCAATCGGTGACATGCGCAGCATGGTGCGCAGCAGTAAGATGCAATCTTGTCTGACAATTTTGCAGAGCGGAGAGAACCTGGTATCTGGCACAGCACTTCACCCGGCATTAGGTGGGTGTCTGCAACACCTGGGCTACACGATTCCCAAACAAACTACCTTCGACAGCGTTTCGAAAACGGATTACGTCGGCACAGCCAGCCTTTAACATGTCCAACATCGAAGCTACAACATTACCATAACAGCCCGGAAGATTCATACCATTCATGTAGCACATCATTCAATGACATCTACCTCAACATGGCCCACAGCGTGCAGAAGTGTACTGGCATCCATTAAACCAATGAAGGTCTGTGTGTGCGCGTGTGTGTACAAGCCTGTGCTCCCCTGCACCTCGTTACACCCTTTTCTAAATAGGCAGAGGGCATAGTCTAATCGATTCTGCAGAGGTGGCCCGATCAACCAGACGAGGAGAACCGCGCGCAATGCTGCGGGGGATATTGACTTCCCCCTGAACCCTAGAAACCCAAAAAACCCTTAACCCCGAAACCCCCCCCCCTGGCCTGCTTCGCCTTAGCGTACCGGTTCTTCCGCAAGCCCTTTCGCTCCTGCTGGGTTTGGCGGGAAAGGGGGCCGTGGACCTCGAACCGTAAACCTGTAAAATGCCCGAGGCTGCGGGTTTAGGGTTAAACCCTAAACCCTCCAAAGGAGTTGATTCTGCTATAAACCCAAGGCCCTGAACCGCCCTATACCACCCAGACAGATGTGTGGAAGGACTCCCCCTAAAGCAGACTAAACCCTAAACACTGTTGTTTTGGGCCGGCTCAGGATTTGAGGTATTCTTGTAAGTAAAGTAGATGCTTTGCGTCGCAGTTTTCTTACGTGGCACAGTTCCTGCAATGAGATCATATCCTGGGAGTCTGTGCTACCCGCTTGCCTCCTATGACCAAAATGGGGCCATAGCCCTTTATTCAGATCAGCTATAGGTGACTTCTAAGTGTGTCTGAGAGCAGGGGTGACAGGCGCCTGACCTTCTCGACTTTGCTCTGGGAGCATCTTGGGAACCCTGAATCACAATATAATGATCTTTACTATCATCCCTAAACCCTAAACCCATTATACACCTTAAGCCATGACAGCCCTATAGAGCCTAACGCGGGTCCTTCTTTCTTCGCTCTGCCAGGGTTCCTGGCACGGACTCGATGAGTCCGTCAATGCCGGTGTAATGCCTCGGATCTGAGGTTTGCAGGGTTTGGGAGTTTAGGGTTTGGGGTTTACGGCTTGGGGTTTAGGAGGTAATGCCTCAGGCGCGGGGTGGCTGGAAGGGGAAACCAATCCTTCAAGGAACAAGACAATGAACACTTCCTCAACTCCATCAAGCCGGATTACAAGCCCCCCTCCAAGCTTTGGACCTTGTCCACAAGCTTTGGTGGTTAAGGCTGGAGGGGACACAGGGGGGGGGGGGGGGGGGGGGGGGGGGGGGGTAGACACCAGCATCCAACTTCGGACATCACAGAGACCTGAGCCACAAAAGCGTGTGCACCTGGCAACCCCAAGCCTCACGATGTGGGCATTTCCCAAGATTGGGGGCACCCGTTAGTCTAGGAACCCCTGACAGGGCACAACTGGAAACCGAAACTTCCCACGACGGGTGCCAGTTTTGTTTTAATGGGGCTTGGGGCTTACGGGCGGGGCTTGTTTGTGTTTTTGTTTGCTGGGGGGTCAGGCTCCCTGTGTACAGCCCCGGCATATTGAAGGCTCATACAAGGGAATACAAGGAAAGTACTTCCTAAATTCCCTAGTAAGAACCGCAACCCCGAACCAAAGATAGGCGCCTGACGCCGCCTAACGAGAATGCACACTTCGGGTTTGGGCTTGAAGGATTCCGGTTGTGCAATGGGCTTTTTGGCTCTGAGGCTTACGCTTTGGCAAGGGAGCTACACAGGGAGTGCAGGGGGATACATAGTAGTGGTAGACATCCTGGTAGTCACATGGCCTCCTGCGTTAAGCCCCTGGCGACTCGATCTTCTGTCGGAGGTCCTGGTTGCTGTCCATGTAGAAGCGGAAGTCGCCCTGGCCGAGTCTTACAAAGGGGGGGGGGGCCTAAGATCCTAAGCCTTAGGGCATCCAGGCGTTCAGGACCAAGCCCTAAACCCCAGAAAGCTTGATTCCAGGGCTTAGGGTGCCTAGAAACCGTCAAGGCTTTAAGGGACCTTAGCGCTCCCGGGCCCAATCCCTGAGCTCAAATTGGTCTCACTTTTTTGTCCATCCCTCCTACATAGACCCAAGCGTAACGTAAGAATAAAGAGAGTGCACTTTTGGTTTAAAAGGGCTTATGGAGGGAGCCTGAACCCTAAAAAGGCAAGAAGGGCCTACTCTGCGTCCTAGTAGGCTAGAGTGCCAACAAGGGCCCATGATCTTGATCTCCCCTCAACAACAGCGGGTTAGAATGATTTCCGAGCTTTCGGAGGAAGCGTCCAGGAAGCCCAAAAGCCCCATGAGCCTCAGGCGTTTAAGGGTTAGGGTTTGGGAGCTTTGGGGTTATTGGGGTTTGCCCTAAACCCTAAACCCTAAACCCTAAACCCTAAACCCTAAACCCTAAACCCTAAACCCTAAACCCTAAACCCTAAACCCTAAACCCTAAACGGCAACTCATGCACAAGGCGCGTCGTAGGTCTTCACATCGCCTTGGCTCCGTCGCAACGTGCAAGATCCCAACCCTAAACCCCCCAAACCGAAAATCTTGGCATAAGGTTCTGGAAGGATGTTGAGATCCCCATATCACGCCCACCCTTGAGGGCTCCTTGGCGCCCTTACTTACTGGCTGAGCAAGCAAGGCTTCAGTGCACTGACGATGTAGGTACTTGGTAGCCGTCTTGTGGCCATTTACTGATTAGGGCACCTTTTTTGGGGTTAGTTCCTTTATGTAAGGGAACCATGAACGAAACAAAGGGGCCAAAGGGCACCATTGGGCTACCAAGGGTATCCAGGGTGTAGGGTTGAGGATTTCACGGGCAGTTTCGTTACATGCTTCAAAGGGGACCCGTATATACCCCTTGTAAGGTTGCACCGGCTGTAGTGTGTGAGGCCCCGCCCCCCACCCCCCCCCGCCCCCTAGCGGAATGGGGAGGAGTTTAAATAAGTCTCAAAGGTGCAGCGATGCTCGGCAATTGCAAAACCCTCAAGAGCCCCAGATCATCTTAGGAATCAGGTTAGGGTTTAGGGTTTAGGGTTTAGGGTTTAGGGTTTAGGGTTTAGGGTTTAGGGTTTAGGGTTTAAGGTTTAGGATTTAGGGTTTTGCAAAGCCTGCTCGGACACTTATGACTTATGAGGAAGTGCCTTTTGCAGATGTGAAGTCCAAGGGGAAACAGCGTCTGCCACCCGCAAGCAACAAGTACTCGGGAAGCAGGCGACACACACAACAGCTGCTGCGAGATTCCATTAAACCCTAAACCCTCAATTCTAAAACCTGAAAACCTAGAACCCAAACCCTGCAACCCTGAAACCCTAAAACCTTAGACCACGAACTCGAAGAGTCGGACTGCAATGTAAAAGCTACAACCCCAACACTCCCTGAAGGACCCCCCTTCCGTGTAGAGGGCACATCGAGTTCACAGGGCCTCTTGGGGGGTTTGGGATTTAGGGTTTAGGGGGGGTTGAGTAGCCCCCCACCCCTCCAATGTGCTGCTCGGAGGCCATTTTCAATCTCGACCTGACGGGGGCAAGCGAGCATTGAAGGGAGCTGTGGTCCAAGTTCTCCAGGTCCCTCGAAGGACCAAAGGACTTTCACATGCTTATATCCACAACTGGTCCATATTTGCGATGTTGGGGGGAGGCGGGGGGGGGGGGGGGTCATCTTCATAGCAAGTGCTTTCATCTCCCTGTGTGGTTTAAAGCGTAAACCTGGGTGCTGCCGGGTGGCAATCTTCTTGCAGGTCTGGCTCAAGAACCACCTGCCACGAGGTATGCAGAGTAGAGGTTTTAGGGCTTAGGGTTTAGGGAGATCAGCATCTAGTAGTTCAGGGTGCTTGGGGTCTCAGAATTTGCGCGGCGTTGTCCTCTGTCTCTCTTTTTCTCCCTGTTTTGTGTTCCCTCTTTCCCTCTCAGGCTCTCGTCTCGGGTCTCCTCCACGAGAATTAGGCGGTTCAAGGCCTGCACCAATCTATATGATAAGAGGCACAAAGCCCTGAGCTGCTGAGTTTTTCGGCCGGGGCCCCCTCCACTCTAAGTACTCCGAAGCCTTCGACGTCGAAGTTCTCCGGACATCTGAAACCCTATAGGGTTTGGAGGTTGCAGTTCGGATGAACCCCTAAACTCACCACCCTACAAACCCTAAGCCCTAAAACCCACGGTAACAGCCCCGAGTTCGACGCCCAAGCTTCACAGGGGTGCTTGCGGCATCGTACAGGGCACTCTAGGGAGGTCAAGGTACGTGTGTGCGGGTCGATCTTAAGGTCTCACATGGGCAGCTTTTTAAGGGTTCTTATGGGTTTCGGAGGGGAACTACCCGGATTGTTTCTTTAGGAGGGGCGGAAACAAGCATTTTGATCAACTACCATATCTGTCAATTGCTCCCCCTAAACCCGAAACCGGTGTGGAGGCCATCTTCTTGCTCGCTGCGTTGGCGGCCGGGTGAGGATCAGTGCCCGCCGCTTGCGGCTCAGGGGGGGCCGAGGGCGCACGCGGTGGAGCAGATGCTCCTGGGGTTGAAGGGTTCCCCAAAGAGTCCATGTACCTAAGTAGGGAATACTTGGGTCTTAAAGTACTTCCTATACAAAGCCTTTGGGGCCAAGTATATAATAATAAGGTACATGTCCATGTACCTAAATAGGGAATACTTGGGCCTCAAAGTACTTCCTATATAAAGCCTTTGGGGCCCAAGTGTATAATAATAATAAGGTACATGGACCCTTAAGGGTTTGGGGTTTTTGCACCGGGCTTTCTTGCAGGGGAGTTTGCAAAAATGGCCAGCTTCGAAAGGTTGACGCAGCCTGAATTCATATTTGAGGGGCCGTAGTATAAGAAGACCCAAACAGAACCCTATCTCAGACTGACTGACCATCGGTGGTTCCATACGGGCTCTTAAGTCGCGCAATGACAACATCTCGAGCAGCAAGGCAAAGTCACAACCTTTGAGCTCCCCTTAGCTGTACTACCTTTAGAACTTAGAACATTCAAAACAATCAATAACTTTAAATTTTCCTGGGGTTGCATGTAAATGAAACTAAAAGTAATTTCAAAAGGGCTATAGTTTGTGCTTTAGGCTTTAGCTTCAGCTTCAGGAATCAAAACCATTGCAGCCCAGAGTCTAGAAGCGCTTGTTCACTGGTTCCTCAGGTGAAGGCGCGCGATCCAGCAATCCGACGTTATGTCCTATGAACCCTAACCCCTAGATCCCAAAGCCTAAATCCGAAAACGTTAAAACCTGAACCCAGCACATGCAAGCCCTAAACTCAAAAGTCTTAGGGTTTTGGGGCTTAATGTTTGCGGTTTCGGGGTTCTTTTAAGGGCTGAGGGTTTAAGGGTTTGGTTTGGGCTATTTAGTAATCCCAACCTCTCAGAAGATGGACCCGAGGACTATCACAAAAAGGTCCACGGCACGTACCCGCCCGTGGAACAAACCAAGTGAGACATGTGCGGGACAGTGGCAGGCGTAGCACTTGCAGGACATCGCGGCAAAAACCGGGTCTTGGCTATCGCTACCGAACTAATTACTTGGTTATTGCAGGCCGTGCTTTCTTGTCTGTCGGCGAGTCTTCGGACCTGTGTGGCTCGCTTGTTCACAGCAAGCCGTGGAAAGAACGAACGAGCAACAACGCTGTAAATACCTGCGTTTTGGGCGGCACTTTCACAGATGCATGGACGCTTATGACCAGCACGTGTTGTTCCGACATCCTTGCGCAGTATGTTGCACAAAGAGGCAAGAATGCTGTAGCTACGAATGGTTTGGGCACGTTCGCAGCAGGCATGCACGCTTGTGAGAGCGCTCTTTTGCACAATTGACAAACGACTTGCGCAGTATGTGCACAGAGCGAAAAACGCTGCAAATAACGGTGCTTGGACTATCACCTCCCCCTCTCCCCTCCCTCCAAAAACCAGGAAAAATCAGGAAACACTGCTACGGGCGGCTACGCGTCGCGGGCCAACTACTAGCAGGGTCCGTGGGGGTGGGAACCAAGCAACCCATTGATAAACAATTCTCGCGAAATGTTCTTACCTGCACGGATATCGACATTGCCCACAACCTACACCTGCGGTAACAGGAAGGGGCTGATTATCGAGACCAAGCGCAGACCTTACAACCCAAGCCTCCCCAACCCCAAAACGCAAGCCCTAAACCACCAATCTCTTAAAAGTCCTGGGTCGGGTCCTAAGCCATAATTTGTGGTTTAGGGCTTCCAAACCCTAAACCTCTGAACGCCCGTAACCAAATAGATCAGAGCGTCGCAGGGCTATCGCCGCCTTCTCGCGGGCGGCTGCCGCCGCCCAGCGCCGGCGGAGCGCTTCGGCCTGTGTGAGCTCATGGAAGAGGGTTTAGGGCTTTGTAGGGTTGTTGGGATGTTCCCCCGTATACTAGCAGTCCTTTTTAGGGATTACAGTACCCCCCTATTGTAATCCCTGCTAAGGACTGTTAGTATAAGGGCAAAACATGAGTTATATGGGTAGTCCGCTAAACTAGGCTGCCTTTTGGGGCCCTTCTGTGAAGGGTGCTGTACATTTTTTAGGATCCTAATTGAGAGAACTACGCATACACGGATTATAGGCACTAGGGTTGGAAAGGGCATCTCTTCCGAGCCCCTGAAGACCCTCACCCCTCAGAACACTTAATTGCCACCCCTGCTTGACCGACCCCCAAAACCCCTGGACCCGGAAGGAAAACAGATTCTGGATTCTTGGGGGGGGGGTTGTTGGCTTCCTGCCGCGCCCGGACATTCCCAAAGCCCAAAGCCCAAACCCTAAACCTGACACCCAAAACAACCCCCAAACCCGAAAAAAAAACCTTTGCCCTGAAACCCCTATCACCCCCTGAACCCCACCTCTTCTGGCTTGGGATACGCGGCGGCCCGACGGCGCAGCGCCGCGCGCAGCACGCCACGCGTCGCACTTGTGGTGAGGAGGTGCGGCTCCGAAGCGCGCCTTGCACTCGCCGGGGATCAGGGCCCCTTCTTTATAGAGTGGCTTATATGAAGGCAACTATTCTGGCACGGTAGAGGAGTTGAGGCTTGAATGGGTTTGGGCTTTATAGGGTGTAGGGAGTATGGCTTTATTGGGTCTACAGTCTAGACGGTCCGGGCCAACTCTTTTTATGTTCGAGAAAACAGCACGCCCAGGACCTCTAATTTTTTAACGCCATAAAGGCAAAAGCCCGGAGACCAGCAACTTGGCGCTCGCTAAGCCTCGAATCCACTGAACTCCATACGATTTAAACCCCTAAAGCCCCAAGGTCCACAAGTAGGGGAGATAGACCCTCTGAATAAGGTCCTTGTTTAAGAGAGCCAGAAGAGAGTTAAGAAGGGCTCCCTTTCAAGGGTCCCCCTTATCCTACCTAGGATACAGCCCCTGAAGCCCTCGGCCTCTGCAGCCAGCGCCTCAGACGCCTTGGAGTCCAAGCACGCGCCCGGTGCAGCGCCGGCCTGCGAAGGCTCAACACCTGGGCACGGAGGATCTGGGGTTTAGGGTTTAGGGTTTGGGGTTTAGGGTTTTTAGGGTTTAGAATTTAGGGTTTAGGGCTGGGGGGTAAGCAAACCCTAAAGCATCCGAAACCCGAGGAGCCAAAGTTGATCTTTCAGGATGGGCTTTATGGCTTGGGGGTGGAGTGGGTTCAGGGTCTATAGGGTTCTCAGATGCGTGTGGAAGGACACGCCGGAGTCCCCATCGTCAAAATCCAGCCTGAACTACAGAAGACTACCCCAACCACTAAGCCCCAAACGCAACGCCCCAGCATCGTTGAAAACAGAGGTTAATAACCTGTAGTAAGACGCTGCAAGCTTGCGACAAGGGGAGTTGTGCAAATGGAAGGACCCTTCTTGCCTTCTTGGGTCTCTATCATAGGAGAACTCCTTATAGTTAGGGATACAAAAAGGGGCCCAATAAACAGGTGAAATCCGCACGTATCCCTGGCATCGTAGGACGTCCATCTGAACTTCAACTCGCACCCCATTTTCGTGTTGCGTTGGTGCTGGTGCTTCCTGGGATTCTGAGACCCTTTCGGGAACTTCCGGCCCAACAGCACACCGAGGCACGGCGAGCAGCGTCCGCAAAGCCTTCGGAAGGCGTCCCCGGCCGAGCTCATAAAAGGTGGCCAGTCCTCCACGTTAGGGTTTGTAGGGTTTAGGGAAAAGGGTTTAGGGTTCAGGGTTCTAGGGTTTAGGGTCTACTTGGAGGTTCATTGGTAGTTATTGATGGGGACTGAGACGTGTTATCGCCAAATGGGTTACCTGTTAGTACTGCCATTACCTCTGGGCCCGCAACATTAAAACCAACAACAACAACAAAACATATACCACTGTTTGGAGTTGATTGGGGATCGCGGCTTGACCCTAAACCCTAGATCTCCTCGGATTCAATCCACACAGGTTCAAACCTTGGGGCCGGCATTACGTAAATAATTCCCCCACATCCCAGCTGTTGTCAGGCCTTCGTTTCGGCTCATGCCGCCCTCCGCGCCCCCACTGCCTGAATCAGAAGCTGACACCCCTACTCCTTAGGTTAAGTCCATGTAGGCGCTGGGGCCTTGGCTCAGCAAGCTTCCTACTACGTGGTTGCTCTGGTTGGGGTCACAGCGTCACTACAGGGTCGAGCCGGGGTTGAAGCATTGAAGCCTCACGGAAGACTGGGTGTAAAAATCTAGTAGTCCTTAAGAAGAATGCAGAAGAAGGGCATGTTCAGCTGAAACACGCGGAGACGATTACAGAGCCATGAGAGGGTCGCAAAAACATGAAGTGAAGGCAACGAACGTGGTATTCGCCTTTGCCCAAGTGTGCCTGAGATACTGCCGGGATTGCATGGGATTGCCTTGCTTGTTGAGAAAAGCTCGAGACTCAGCTGAGCTCAAATCCAGAGTCAACTTCAGAATGGTGTGTATGAGATGTAGATAGATGCGTCGAAGTCCTTGGTCCTGAGCTTGTAGGGGCAGTATCTGGCTGAACTTAAATCCCTCAGGTTGGGATGTTCCCCCTTATACTAGAATAGGGATTATAGTACCCCCTATTATGATCCCAAATTAAGGACTGTTAGTATAAAGGGGAACATCCCAACCCTCAAACCTCAGAGTCGGCACTATTTCTGCCTTCATCCGACTCCTCTTCACTGCTCTCCGCCTCGCAAGCCGCATATATAAGTTCGGGTCCAGCCCTGGGGGTCTAGGGGTAGGGGTGGAGCTAAGCCTTGGGGCCTTGTGGCCAGGGGGTGGGGCGGGGCGGGGGGTGGGGTGGAGGGTGGCTGGGGGGGGGGGGGGGGGGTTGGGGTCTGGCTTAGCCTCAGTCAGCTTTCAAATAAAATTCTGATGCTAAAGTATTCTTGGGATGCCCGGGGATCCTTTCTGTAAAGAATCATGCTTCGACTTGGCAAGGGAACGCTGCGTTAACTGCAAAAGCAACAAGATAAATCAAAAAAAAGAAGCCAACGACGTGGAGACGTGTGTTTTCGATCGGGCGAATTTAGGGTTTAGGGCTGATCTAACTTGTTGGCCCTTGAGGGCGCACCAGCTGGTAAGGAGACTGTTTCGCATGAGAGGCCCACAGTTTCGACCAAGCCCCCCTCCCTGACTGGTGAGCCTCATATACAGGAAGTGAGTATCTGAGTGTATTCCGACTGTTGGAGGTCTACATATCAGTCTAGTGAACCGCAAACCCCATACCCAGAACCCGACAACGAAGGGAACTCGGTTCCTGTGGAAGCAGGTAGGCGTGGGTTCAGGGATTCGAAATCACACAACCCAAGCTTTGGAAGTCAAAACCTTTGGAAGGTTCTTGGTATATACCGCACCCCCTGCTACGCTTCCCAGGCAACTCCCCTAGGCCCCAAACCCAACCCTAGACCCTCAACCCCTAAACCCTACAACTCTACACCCCAAAAGCCTCAACCCTCAAACCAAGAACCCTAAAACCTAAACACCAAAACCTTAAACAAACCCCTAGAACCCCAAATCCTGAAAGCCCTATTAACCCTAAAGCTCCTAACTAAAAGCCTAAAACCCCCAGAGCCCTAGAGCCCGAATGCCCGAAAACCGAAAGCCCTGACCCGAAACATCTCAAAAAACCCTAGAACCCCAGAACCCGAAAACCCTAAACCCTAAAACCAACAACCCAAAAAAAATCACATGAACCCTACAAACCGCAACAAAAACCCCGAAAACAACAAAAACCCACAAAAACCCACAAAAACCCGTTAAGCCCCCAAGAGTCGCCCCCGCCTGGGTGAGGCCCAGCATGGCCGCCCGCTCTGCTGCAAACCGCAGCTGGGGCTCGAAGCGGCGTCCAGCCTAGGGTTTGGGGTTTAGGGTTTAGGGTTCCCAGGGTTTAGGATGCATAGGGTTTAGGGTTTAGGGTTTAGGGTTTAGGGTTTAGGGTTTAGGGTTTAGGGTTTAGGGTTTAGGTTCCCATACTTTCGGGCTTAGACCCCAAAACCCACACGCTCAGGCACCCACCAGCATGCTTCGTGGGAGCGTTACGCTGTTGAAGGCGTTCTGCTCCAGGAGGAAGCCGTAGTCTGCAGAGAGAAGGTAGGGTTCGGGGTTTAGGGTTTAGGGTTTAAAGGGTTTAGGGTTTAAAGGGTTTAGGGTTTAAAGGGTTTAGGGTTTAAAGGGTTAAAGGGTTTAGGGTTTAGGGCGTTTAGGGTTCAAGGGCTCGGGAATAGGGTTTAGGATTTATGGCGCTTAGGGCTTAAAAGCTTTACGGCTCCAAAGGTATCGCCTTATATGGCTTAAGTAGGATTTCGAAGCTTAGCGGCTGTGAGCTTCTGGGATGTTGCGTTCGGGTCATTGGACTTGAACTTTAAGAGTCTAGGAGTCTCTGTAGGGCCTTCAGGATTTCGGAAACTCATGCTTAGGCCTGGATATGGTCAGCTAAACAAAGAGTGGACTCTTGTCGGGTCTCGGTTATTGTACGGGCTTCTAACAATTCTAACTATAGGGCGGGCATATTTTAGAGAACTGGCCATCTGCGGTGTCAAAGGGCTAGTTTTTGCCACCGAGAAGGGACATATGGCGGAAGTTCTTGTGCCTCTAACCCAGTGTAGGACCCTAAACCCTAAACCCCTTCCAGTGGGCTCGGGGCTTGTAGCTTGTGGTGGGCTGCGCCTTGAAGCAGCTTGTCATTGGAGAATTCCCCGTAGGTATTGAAGACCTCTGTGTCTGCGGGGATCTCCTTAGAGTTGTCAAAATCCATGGCTTCACAAGAATTGGGGTCTCCCCTTTAAGGTTGAGGGTTTCGGGTTAAGGGTTATACAGAATGCTGATACGTCCTAACCCGACAACGTGAACCCCCTCAAGGAGGGTTGGGCCGCGTGACCGACGGCACCGGGCTTTAGGGAGTAGAGTTCAGGCTTTAGTGGTTTGGTGCAGGTTTCAGAAGGACATTTTGGAGCCGAAGAAGCTTTTTCCAAGACTGACGGTTCAGCTGAAAAGAAAAGCTACCTTCGACGGGCACGCCGCAGTGTGATGACTTTGTCATTATATCTGTAATACATACATACATACATACATATTTTCATATAACCGGTATATAGCTGAGATCATGATGAGTATAAGTATCAAAAAATGGTCATCGGAACATGTACACATGCCACTCATGCAGGTAACGTCCACGAGAATGGGGAAGAGCGGGGCCGCCGGGGCTTAGCACAAAAATTGTAAGACCTGCTTCCAAAGCCTTTCCACAGCTTCTGAGGCATCGTTTTTGTTGGGAGCTTCTCAAGGCCTCATCAGGGCCTGCTGAGCCTGCTGCTGCTCTTGGGCCTGTGAGGATCTTGGTTTTTGGCTTTAGGAAGCCGTTTGGGGGACATTCCACGTCTGTACATGAAACGATCAATGTACCAGGGAGGCTGCGCCCCTAAAGCGGGTTTGAGGGGCTTGGCATGTGTGATCTTTCCCGAATACCCAACTATGGGGGTACCACTTTATACTTCCCGAAATATCGTAGAATCCTACAATCCACCAAAAAGGACCCCTATCTTGGGGGAGTCCCCATGCTGGGCCTTTCGAGTCCCGCTGATGCGTTATTTCCAGACATTAGAGTTGAGGGTATCACCCAGGGCCCACCATGTAAATCCGTTCCACCTCGCCCAATTCCTGAAGGGGGGTTTCGGGTTTAGGGTTGTAGGGTTTAGGAGCTAGACATCCCCAAAAGTCCAACCCCTTTAACCCCTAGCCTTGAACAAGTGCAAAGCTGGCATGAAAATCCAAAATGTGCATCAATAATTTTCAACCCATATAAACCCGATAGAACCTCTTTCATTTCTGGTTTGGATATGTTGACTGGGAGCTTAAGCATAATTTGGTTGGGATGCAAGAACTTTTGACTTTACAATTTCACAAGTTAGGCAAGGAAAAAACCGCGGAACTTTAGGAGGACCTAGAAGTATGGGAGAGAGAAAAGACATCAACAAATCAATATATGCGTATCAGAATAAGATCTGGAGATCAGGCGTTTAGAGGTGTCGAGGCCCTAAGTGCCGAAACCCTCAGCCTAAAACCTCGCAAGCCCAAAACCTACCAGGTCCTAGGCAAGCAATGCCAGCGGAGAGTCCGTCAAGACGTAGATCATCAGCTGACCGCCAGGGCCTGTGCCCGACTTTGGCCGGACCTGGGCCCCAGGAGCTTTGGGTTTAAGACGAAAGCAGGGTTTAGGGTTTAGGGTTCAGGATTTAGGGTTCAGGATTTAGGGTTCAGGATTTAGGGTTTTATATGCCTTGGGGTTCAGGGAGGGTTTAGGAGGGGTAAGGGCTCCAGCCCTGAGTTCCGAAGAACCACATGAAAGACTCCCGAAGCCCTAAACCCCAAACCTTAAACCCTAAACCCGAAGCCCTGAGCCCTAAACTTTCCAAAGCATGAAAACCATCTACTATCCCCAAGTGTCCTTCTGAGCAGAGGCACCGGAGGATCGCAACAACACAAGCCGGAGCCTCCGAAAGCCCCCAAGAAGGGTTGGTTTAAGGTTTAGTGTTAAGGGTTTGCGGTTTAGGGTTTGGAGTTTGGGGTTTAGGGTCCTCGAACTCCTAACCTCGCAACCCTAAACCCTCAAGAGCAGACCCCTTTGCAAAGAGGCCTGGCATTTCCGCTTCGCACCTCCAAATGGGCTGCTGCATATCTAAAGATGTGGCACTTAGGGCTTTGTAGTGAGGAGGTTTATAGGGTTTCGGGAATCAGGGGTTTGCAGTGCGGAGGCCTGGGGCAATTCAGCATAGTTAAGGTGCCAGAAAAAGTTCCGCACGCGGTTCTGCGATCTTGAGCCCTGCTGGATTGAACAACTCTGGACAGCGAGGTGATGAAGACCATACCGAACAAAAAAGAAAGCATCAGACCTTGTGCGATGGAATTGTGCAGCAAAGTTCGCTAGGTTCCCCTGTAGTACAGGTATCGCCATTCATTCCCCTTGTGGTGTCCTACTTGCCGATCCTGATGAATTGCCTGGAGTCCAGTGTTGCATGTAGTGTTCAGGTCGTAGGCTTTGAAGCAACATCTCGCCACCATCCCTTAACACAACTGCATCACAAAATGCACATCTTCAACGAGTTTGTGCATCATCGACACATCGAAGGGTGAATTCCCGTGATGTAGACACTGGACTATGTGGAGACATCGCAACACGTCATTAGGGTTTAGGGTTTAGGATATAGGGCACAAAGTTTCTGTCCTTAGAGATCAACCTTTCAGGCGGTGGCTGTGCTCTGCCTTCTGAAACCATGGTGCTCTCCGCGAGCGCTATCTGCCTGACATGTGGGCACAGCGGTGGTAAAGCCAAAACCTGAAACCCCAAACCCTGAACCCTGCGCTTTTGGCACGGGGTCGCCAACATCCTGCATTAAGAAGCGCGCTGTGCCGAATGATTGCGGACATAAGACGCTCCGCCTAAACTCTAAACCCTACATCTATCAACAGAAAGCTTTGCGAAGCCACGAGACCGCGAAGTTGCGGGACTTGAGCCCACAAAGATGGCGTAGAAGGGTTTAGGTTGGGATGTTCCCCCCCTTATACTGAAAGTCCTTCATAGGGACTATAGTACCCCCAATTATAATATCGAGTAAGGACTGTTAGTATAAGGGGGAAGATCCCAGGGTTTAGGTTGAGGGGTTAGTAGGGTTAACCCTGAAAAGGAATGAGGGTAGCTACTGGCCGTCCCGGCGCTGGAAAGGCTGCAACCTTGATTTGTGCTCGGCTTCTACCAGGCGAAAACTTCTAGATTAGAATGTAGGCTTGGGGTTCGTGAAACGGGAGTTAAGTAATTGTAACGCTGCTTTGTTGGGCAAGAACCGGGAAGCTGCTGCAACCCGATCTCGCAGTTGATACATTGAGGGTTGGGGGTTGCGGGGCCTCCCTAGCTCGAAACCTTATACCCCAAGCCCTACACCGGAAACCCTAAGCAACCCTAAACCCTAAACCCTAAACCCTAAACCCTAAGCCCTAAGCCCTAAGCCCTAAGCCCTAAGCCCTAAGCCCTAAGCCCTAAACGGCAGGGAGGAGAGTGGATTGAGCCTGGCTGCATGGGAGGCACCGGCCCCTGCCACGGGGCAAAGGGCGGCGTGCGACCTTTGGGGGCTTGGATTTTAGGGTTTAGGGTTTAGGGTTTAGGGTTTCGGGTTTCGGGTTTAGGGCCTTGAGAAATATGGGTTTGGGCACATTGAGGGGTCGGGATTTTCAAATACCCTCCTCCGAGATTAAGACGCTAGGGAAATCTGGTTTGGCAGGCTTTTTTGTAGCCTTCCAGCGGCTTTACAGTTTTGGGGGACGACTTCGTACGCGCCTTCGCTGTTGTAGGAACCGACATATGTAAGCCCTGCACCCTAAACCCAGACGGCCTGCGGTCCAGGCTTTAGGATGTATACGGTCTAAAGTCTAAAGCTTAGGTTCTTTCTTGGTGCAGAGGTGTCGATGCTCAAGCTCACCCTGTTCTCTACGAGAACCAGGCTTGTTCAACTTGTTCACTAAGGCCGTCCTGTAAATCATGGTCCCTTTGGGGGTTAGCTGCCCTAGAGATATAAGGCTCCGCATGACAGCCAGCTGCGGGAAAAATGACATGTAGGGTTTAGGGTACACCAATCCCAAACCGACAAAACCTTCGCACCAAAGGCCCAATGACTCGACTTCGAAATCCAAGGCAGGGATTAGGGCTTCGGCGGCTTTGTTTGTGTTTTAGAGTTTAGTGGTCAAGTCCCGAAACTCCACGCAACTCTGCATGGATTTGCACAGGTACTGTCACGTCAGGGCTTTGGGTTTACAAAAGTTACGTAACCCATCCTCTACCATAACCCTCTTGAGGGCACGTCTCTCTCCGGGCTTTAGTGACTTTAGTGTCCGTGAACAGCCAAGTAGCCCTCTGCTAGGAGCCAGAAAGCGGGACTGCAACTGAGGCCTATAAGGGTTTTGGGCAAAACGCCCCCAAAAACCCAAAACCCGTTCATCTTGGGATGTTCGTTTTATACTAACAGTCCTTAATAAGGATGAGAGTACCCCTCTTCTAATCCCCGTTAAGGACTGTTAGTATACGGGGGAACATCCCAAGTAACCTTGATCTTTCAAAACCTTCCTTCAGTTGGGTGGCGCCGTGACGCCGCTGGCCGCTGCACAGCCTCGTCTGGTGAGCCTCAAGGCACGGCCACCTACTTTGAGCAGCGCGGCTCGGTGGTTTAACCCTAAACCCTAAACCATGAACTCTAAACCCGAAACCCTAAACCCTAAACCCTGGGTCAAGGGCTTCGGGCTCAGGGTCGGTTGTTGGTTAAACGCTTTCTTGAAGGATCCTTAGTTCAGCTTGGAAAGGCACCCGGTTTAGAAGCTGCTTAGGGTGTGCCGGGCTTAGGGTTTAAACTTAGAGATATGGAGGTTCAGGTTCTTCGGCTTTTGGAGAAAGACGAAAACGTCTAGCAGGCATCGGAACCTTGAAGAACTGCTCAAGCCGAGCCTCTGATTTCACGCACCGTCTCTCCAGCCGGAACTTTCCTGGCTGCTGTGTCTGTAAGGCTGTACTCGTCAGGCTTTCAGGCTTCCCTTCTTAGTTTGATCTCCGAGATTCTCATGTCTTCACACAAGCAGACACGGGAACAGGCTAAATGTATGCCCTGCCCCATCTTCCCTGGCCTTTCAAACAACTACTGGAAGGTTACCCTACATGTCCCACAAGAGGCTACAAGGTACCCTGAGGCCTTTATTCCTCCTCCCCTAATCTCAGCCCCAGTCCGCCATGCCCTTAGTCCTCCCAAAACGGGCAGCCCTGTTTACGGAAATCTCCATGGAGTCATCCTACCCCTCAACATCCCAAAAGCCTACCAAGTCATAGTTGCTGAGTTAGGTTTACAGAAAGCTTCGGGGTTGCAGGCCCTAGGAGGGCTCGGAGGCTTCGAATTTCAGATTTCAGGCTCGGCTGCTTACGTTTCAAGGCCTCGGCGTGCAAGCAGCCTGATGCTTGGGGGCCGACGGTTTAGGAGTTTGGCCTTCGGGTTACGCAGAAACACTGAACCCCAAGTCCCGAACCCACCCTAAACCCTAACCCTAAACCCTAACCCTAAACCCTAAACCCTAAACCCCCATGATGTCCCTTTGCTGCTTTCCCTGTTGTGCTCTCCATGCTGCCCAGAATCTGGCAGCGGTGGTTGAAGGCATCGGCCAGGGGCACCAAAGCCTGGTGCCCAGATCGGGGCTTTAGGGTTTAGGGTTTAGGGTTTAGGGTTTAGGGTTTAGGGTCAGGATGCAGCTGCGTTGCCGGCGCACGGCTTTCCTTCACTGACTCACCTGCCCTGACACTAAAACCCTGAACCCTAAACCCAAAATATCCCAAACCCTGAGCCCAAGACCCTAAGCCCAAAAAACTGAAGCCCATCCCTCAGTACCTAACTTATTCAATCCAGGTGGGGCGGCAGCATGACAGTCAGCTACTTCAGGTTCTTTGGCTCTTAGGGGTTTCAGCTTTCTTTCACACATTTCAGGGTCTGGGACTGTGAGTGTGCACCCCCCCTAAAGCATGCCCCATCAGCAACTTTGTGACCTTCAGTGTTTGGGCGCAAAGCGTGCCTCCAAGTGAAAATCGTCAACTGTGAATGCCTTGCGTTCGGTTATGGATGGTTGTGTTTTCGCTTATGGCCTTTCAAAAACATTCAGACCTTGGCAAAGCCTGATCCGGGCATTGCAGGGCTCAAGGTTCAGGGCCTGGGCGCTCTTGAGGTAACGAAGCGTGTGAAACTACAGTACTGCGACATCAAGATGCAAGGCTGCTTGAGCTCCTGTGCTCCGCAACACATGCCTAGTTGTTGTTGCTGCCTGCTATGCCTTTCATACCTGTTTGTACAAGTACCCTCATTCCCTTACCGAGTATGGGGAGAACAACGTCCATCGCGGACCCGCAAGTCTCCCAGGCTTCAACCAAGTTGTGTCCAACACTGCTCTTTCCCGATGTCCCTCTCAAGAGTACTCCCTATGCCCCAAGTCCTAAGCCCCTCAAACACTACAGCCCCACTGCAGGGAGCTGAGATTCTGTGAGATCCGCTAGACGGCGGCCTTCTGGGAATCTTACAGATAAGCTTTGGGGATAAGGATTTTAAGATTAAACTTCTGGGTTTGCGGTATTTTGAGGTTCAAGGGTGGCTGAGGGAATGAATATGGGTGATATAGCGGTATGTACGGAGTACAGCGTGATGACTTACACCCATCCAGCCCTGCTCCTTAAGCACCACTTAAGACAATTGATGCCTCAACCGCACGACTGTAGCATCAACAACCCTCAAGGCCTAAGATTTGTGTCTAAGCATATCCCAGCCACTAGGTGAGCTCTCTAACTTTGAACCCTCTAAACATGCATTCAAAAGCGTCTCCACTTAGGGCTACTCTGGGTGGTGGCCTGGCAAATTTCTGAACCAACCCTACAGCCCCAAATCTTAGCGAGACCAAGCCGCCCGCGAAGTGGCGAGAGTCGCTGCGCGAAGGTAATCCTCCAAGGAGATGTCGACCTTTCAATGGGTGGAACATGGTGGAACAAACTGAGACCTTGAACCCCAAACCCTTAACCCCTCACCCTCACCCATAGAGGAAGGGGGGGAACTCGGGCTTCTATTGAGTATCCCCTGTTAGGAAGAACGCCTGAGGGAGGTCTAAAGTATAATGGCAAGCCGAGGTCCACCAAGCATGAATCTTGAAGCCCTAAACGATAACCCCAAATTTCCCCAAACCCTTAACCCTTCAACCTCTTCAGCCCTCACACCTGTCTATGATTCTGAGTCCCGCAAATCAGCAGGTTGTCATCTATAACATCACAGAAGATGCGGAGCATAAGCCCGGCATAGGTTGGTCATCAACTAAGCAGGAAAGCCGATCCCAACGAGGCGCTGACGTCATTCAAAGGCGGAGAGTCCAACAGCGGCAGCACGACCTTCACACCGGGCGTGGGCTCTGTGGGCTTTGACTCCCTCCCTCCACATGTAATCCTAAACCCTACACACTAAACCCTCTGCCCCCCTCCCCAACTAAAATATAAATAAACAACTAAAGAAATACATATAGTTACCTATACATATATATATGTATGTCCAATGAGTTAGGGTCCCTTTGGGTTGTTGTTTACTAGGGGGACCGGGTTTCCGTAGACCAAAACAACCTTCAGTTTTCCTCATTCCTGTACAAGGCCCCCACCCTGGACATCTCTCCAGATGATCGCAGCTCTTGGCTCCCCCTTCTTCAACTTCGTGTCTCTGTGTGCTGTTGTTTCTTGCTGGGTCTTGAGAGGGAATTTTGGGGGCAAAGCACCCTAAGAGTCCCTTGAAAGGCGTATATATGGGGGGTCGCTAGGGGATCAGAAGGCACCGCATTTCCCCTCCTTCCTTGGTCCAGCTCGGTGCGTCCCAGGACTAGTAGCTGGAAGATGCTGACATTTAGATGCAGGAAGACATGCCACCTAACTCTAAACCCCAAACCCAAAACCCAAAATCCTAAACCCCAACAACCCCCCCCCCCTCACTCCTAACTCGGCGACCTCGGCTTCCTTTTGGTACTTAGGGTTTAGGGTTTAGGGTTCAGGGCCCCCCGCCCCCCTCCCCCTTAGCCTCCCGATACTCCGACTGGAGATCTGCCAAGGTCTCTTCCACCTTGGGATCCGCTTCTGGGGGCTTATAGGGTCTATAGTTTATGGGGATTGTTTAGGTTTTATAGGGTTTTAGGGTCATAGGGTTCTAGGGTTTATAGGGATTAAATGGGGCTATTGGGCTCTAGGGTTTATAGGGTCCTAGGGTGGGTGAGAGGGTGGATGGGCTTAGGGTGGTGAGGGTACGTCATGGCTTTGGGGCGCCTTACTTCCCTGACTTGGTGGCCCAGTAACCATCTTGAAATAAGGGCGCCCTTCTTTGGGGAAGGGAAATTTTAACCCACAAAAAAAAGGTGAAAAGGGTACCACTGGGCCACCAAGCTGAAAGTACTCTAAGAGTGGACCCTCCGGCCTTCACGGCCGGAGGGGCAAGGGCCGACTGCAAAAAGTTGAACCCTCTTTCTGTTATTCCATGTTTATTGGGGATTTCTGCTATTCTATGTTTCTTGGGGGAGGGGACGATCCTAACCCCCCCCCCCCCCCCAAAAGGAAAAGCGCAAACAGGGAATAGGGGTACTGAGGTTTTTCGGCAGACGCTGGCCTTAAACCTCGAAGCCCGCAGAGTCCCTGAAGCCGAGAAACACAACGAAAAGACTCCTTGTGCGCGGTTCAGATTTGGGGGTTTAGGGTTTAGGGTTTAGGGTTTAGGGTTTAGGGTTTAGGGTTTAGGGTTTAGGGTTTAGGGTTTAGGGTTTAGGGTTAAGGGTTTTCGGGCCAAGGAAATACGGTTTTTTTGACACAACCCCAGAGAATTCAATACCCGATATCCGCATTTGATGTGGTGCTGCCAGCATCGATGGCGTGGGAGTCCTATCCCGTACTTGAACCCTAAACCATCCTAAGCCCTATACCCTCAAACCCTACCGCCCTCACCCAAAACCGCCTTGGGCCCTAAACCCCTAATCTCCTAACCCCCCTAAACCCTGAACCCTAAACCCTAAACCCTAAATTTTAAATGCCAACTCACCCTGATCCCCTAAACCACAAGCGACTCCAGCTCGGGAGCTGCAGCCGGGGATCTGTCCCTTCCGCATCCGTTCCCGCGAGCAAGGCCCGCTGCTCCGGGCTCCTGGCTTAGGGAAATAAGGTGTTAGCGGCTGTTAGCGTTTGGGGATAGAGGGTTTAGGCCTCGAGGCTCACGGGTCTAGGGCTAGCTCTAGGGTTGAGTTTTAGGCTTCAGGGGATTGGTGTTTTTTGGGTTGCTGTGGATTTGGGCTGTCTATTGATCAGGGGCATTGGGGTTTAGGGGTAGCTTCGGGGTCTAGCGTTTTGGGGAGCACTGTCCCTGTAAGGGAAGCCTGCTCCCTTATAGTTCGGGCCGATAACAGGTGTGAAAGGAGGAGGGGTTGGAGAGAGTCAGGTATGCCGGCATACTACCGTAAACCTAAACTCTAGTGGTCGAATGCTGCTCGTCATGAGGCCGGGCGCTGCGCTAAAGCTGCAGTGCGAGCGTGTGCATCTGCTGCACACTTTCGCACACTTTCCGGAAGTCGCAAGTGAGTGGAAGCTTGGCATGGCACTAGAACGCGACACGAACACGCAGATGTCCCCTGCTCTGCTCTCAAGCCCTACTCCCCTGAAGGCAAGACTCCTCCAAAGACTCAAAAGCCCAAGGCCCGAAAATCCACCAAGCCTACGACTTGAATCCCCCAAAATAGCACCAAGCCAAAAACCCCAACATCTGTTCCTAAACTCCCAAAACCTTGGATCATGCCAGTCGAGGCACCATAGGTACGGCAAGTCTTCAAAAGGCTTGATGAAGGACTTGAAGTATCCTGCTTGCAATTAGTAGCTTCGGGTACCCGGGCCCCCCTTGCCCAAAAACACGAAGGGCAAAAAAGTGCACCAGGAAAGGTCCTACCAGAAAGGTTGAAATAAGTTAGTAAAGATGTAACTTGTTCCTATCTTAAGTTAAAAATTGTTTAACTTAGGTTATTAGTTGCTTAATTTGTGTAACTTGACCCCTTTTTTTCGGGGTATGTTATAAGTTAATTGGGCCAGTTATAAGTTAGTTGGCCCAGTTGCAGAAATAGTAAGGGGCAAGTTAGGGGGAAGTTAGGCACAAGTTAGGGTGAAGTTAGGGGCCCATGGTTTTTTCATATGGTTTTTCCTTCTTCCTCTGCACCGAGTGACAGAGAAAGAGCTTGCTTCAGAGGGCAATCCTTGAGCACAAGATCACGGTTTTGCAAGGCTCCGAGGCGAGTTTGCTGGGCTCAAGGAGCAGTTTTTTCCTAGGTGTAGCTGTTTGCTGTGAAGCCGCGAACATGGCTGTGCAAGCAGTGAAGTCTTTTTGGGACTCGATCGAGCAAGCTCCCCACGAGGAGGGCGAAGGAAGAAAGCGACACTTTCAAAGGCTGCTTGGTCTCTTGCAAGAACTGAAGCCCTCGGCAGCTGACGTGGAGGCTGTGAAGCAGCTGCTGCCTTCCTTAGGGTTCACTGGCGATGAGGGGGAAGCAATTCTGTCGGTGCTGTCCCGGGCGGTTGTAGTGGAAAAGCCGAAACGCCGAGAGCAGCAGGACTACAGCAGGCTGCATGCCTTTTTGTCCAGGCAGCACTGGCATGAGTTGATGAACAGGAAGACCTGTCGTGACAGGGCTGAGTATCTGTGTGAGTTCAGCCACGACTCGTTGGGGCTGTGGCTTCCAACAGAGCAGACGTTGGGCACCATGGCAATAGTGTGCACACTATTGGAAGGTGGCCCCCCCCCGACCAGCTTTCATCTACACTCCAATCTCGCCATCGTTCGCAGCACATGGAAAGGTTGTGCCAAGAGGTATCACAAGAAGAAGGCAGGCTCTCGGGAAGAGCCACTGTTGCCGGCACTGCCTGTGGCCTTTGATGGCCTTCCCGAGGAGCTGCAGGAGGCGTATGGTGTTTTGCGACCAGCCTCGGTGGGGGAGTGGCCCTTCACCGAAGCAGCTTTCAACACCTGCACCATGAAGGGGCCACTCAGGTCGAACCACTCGGCAGTGAGCAGCAGCAGCAGCAGCAGGATGGCATCTGCTCAAGTCTCCACTCCCAATGATGTGTTGATTGCCCGGGCTGTCAGTGCAGCTGTGCTGGCTCTTCGAGTTCCAGAGCCGGAGCCCATCCCAAACCTCAGGCTTCTTGGTCGTGCAGCAGGGCCAGCCCAGGCCTTGCAGCTTCCACCTCCTGCAGAGGAGGTTCCGAGGGCTGCACCTGCATCGCAAAGGCATTGATGGATCAGCCTCGGTGTGTAGTAGGGGCCAGTGAAGCCCAGAAGGTGCCGACTGCAACGATGGAAGAACTCAGTGTGCTGAGCCCCAGTGTGAGGAAGGAGGTTGACGAGGTCATGCCTGAGACGCAGGCCAAGCCTGGAAGCGCAGGCCTGCCTAATGATGAGGGCATCCCGGGTCCGGCCTTGAATGAGACGCAGGACGCTCTCTTACAGGAGCGAGCTGGAGGAAAGGTCTGCAGGAAGCCCTCGACCAACATGAAGAAGCCTGCCGCTTCATCGGCAAAGTCGAAGAAGAAGCCCGCAGCTGCTGGGGCAGCTGCTCGGAAGGCTGTGGCCAAGCAGCATTCCAAGGGCAAGATCCCCGGTCGCTTTGCAAGCCTGCGACTGCGACCAGAGGGTTGCCCGAAATGCAGAGGTCATGCAGGATGCTTCCCGAGTTGTTGGAGACAGAGGGGGTATAGTGACTGAGCTGGATGACATAGCAGAGGGCACATCCGCAGAGAGGGTATAGTGACTGAGCTGGATGACATAGCAGAGGGCACATCCGCAGAAAAATGCGAGGCTGGTCTTCTGTAGATAGAAGCCCCCCATCCGACAAGCCCAGAAACCTATAAAACATGCTATAAACAGAGCTCCAAGCTGGAACCCGCAGCTTTTGGGCTCTCCAGTCGCTTGGCTCGGCTGCTGCAGCAAGTACCGAAGGCCCGTGCTCTATGGGTTCGATAGGGTTTAGGGTTTATAGGGTTTAGGGTTTAGGGTTTAGGGTTTAGGGTTTAGGGTTTAGGGTTTAGGGTTTAGGGTTTAGGGTTCAGGGTTTAGGGTTTAGGTTTAGGGTTTAGTTCTCAGGCTCTATAGGGTTTTGGTATGCTTAGACGGGTTTCGTAAACCCTAAACCCTAAACCTCTGCCGGCCAGAGGGGGTGGTCGAGCAGAGTGTCCGTGGATCTCTGCCGGCCAAAGGGATTGGTCGAGCAGAGTGTCTGTGGACCTTTGCTGGGCAAAGGGGGTGGTCGAGCAGAGTGTCTGTGGACCTCTGCCGGCCAGAGGGGGTGGTCGAGCAGAGTGTCCGTGGACCTTTGCTGGGCAAAGGGGGTGGTCGAGCAGAGTGTCTGTGGACCTCTGCCGGCCAGAGGGGGTGGTCGAGCAGCGTGTCCGTGGACCTCTGCCGGCCAAAGGGATTGGTCGAGCAGAGTGTCTGTGGACCTTTGCTGGGCAAAGGGGGTGGTCGAGCAGCCCAGAGTGTCCGTGGACCTCTGCCGGCCAAAGGGATTGGGGACCTTTGCCGGCCAAAGGGGTAGAGTGTCTCTGGACCTCTGCCGGCCAGAGGGGGTGGTCGAGCAGAGTGTCCGTGGACCTCTGCCGGCCAGAGGGATTGGTCGAGCAGAGTGTCTGTGGACCTTTGCCGGCCAAGGGGGTGGTCGAGCAGAGTGTCTGTGGACCTCTGCCGAGGGGGCGGTCGAGCAGAGTGTCCGTGGACCTCTGCCGGCCAAAGGGGGTCGAGCAGAGTGTCTGTGGACCTCTGCTGACCAAAAGGTCGAGCAAGACAGAGAAAAAGGTCGAGCAGAGTGTCTGTGGACCTCTGCCGGCCAGACACAGAGTGTCTGTGGACGTCTATATATATATATATATATTTATATTTATATTTATATTTATATATATATTATACTCTAAGAGTTACAGAGGTCTTATAATATATATATATATATATGTATTTATATGTATATATATATATATAATATTTATATATTTATGTATGCATAGAATATATATATATATATATGTATATATATATAGGTCTTTTGCAAGGGTAGATATAGAAGTTGAAACCTGAAAACCCATAGACAACCCGATATCTACAACCTCGAAAGAAATATTCTGTCAGGCATGGCCGGGGCAGACGACCGCAAGGAAGAGGCCGCACAGGGCAGCTCCGAGGAGTCCAGCTACGAGGACGAAGAGCCACCCGTGGTGCTCAACCCCGCCGTGACCCGCCCAGCCGAGCCCCGTGGCGAGCCTCCAAAAGAGGCCTCGCTGAGAGAGGCGGCCCTCCGCGAGGTCCGCAGTCGCCTCGGCCACAAGCGAGACAGGGAAGCTCGCTCCCGTGACCGCGACCGCAGACGGGCAACTTGCTCTCGCCGCAGCCGAAACCACCGCCGCAGCCACAGCCGCAGCCACCGCCGCCGGAGGGCGGCCCGCAGCCGCCCGCTGTTCCAGGGGAGTCAGCCTGCGGGAGCGGGCCGAGCCAAAGGCAATGCCACCCCCTCCACCGGCTCCCACGGACCGCGACCAGCAGCGATGCCCAGAGTGCCGGAAGTCCGTGGGAGGTGGGGAGAGTGGGTGGGAGCAGCACATCCGCAGTGTGCCGCACCTCACCCACGTCATCTACAACAAGCACGGCCGCAAAGAATCGTGGGCTCAGTGCAAGAAGCTTGCCAAGGAGAAGTCGGCTCAGCTGTGGGACAGTTGGACGTCGGGTCGCTGCCGCTCCACCACCCAGGACAGGAAAAAACGCCAGCCGCAGTCCTCTCCACCAAAGCACCGGGACGCGGATCCCAAGGGCCCGCCAGGCCAGGGCCCGCCGGATGGTTCGAGTGGCTCCGGAGGCGCCGGAAAGGCGGGGGTCTTGACTGCCCTGTGGCAGACCACCCTCCAGGAGATTGCTCGGTGGTGAGCCTCCAACCCTGCTGAGGCTGCTCTTCCTAGTTTAGGTCTATAGGGTCTATATATAGAAGCTTTATAGGGTTTAGGGTTATTTATATATGGGTTTGGGTTTACGGTTTAGCTTATGGTTGATGCTTTTAGGGTTCGCAGAGGACGTAGGCCGGCCAGCAGCAAGGCCGAAGCATCGCACACGGCTTGGCTGCCTGAAAAAAGGGCCTCACTCAGGGCTTATAGGGCTTAGGGCTTAGAGCCTAGGGCTCAGGCTTACATAGGGTATAGGGCTTAGGGCTAAGGGCTTCTGAGCTTTAGCCTGCATTGGGGTTCTTGTATCTCTAGGGTTGAGGGTTCAGGGTCTAGGGTTTAGGATTTAGAGGGGTTAAGGGTTTATGGGTAATATATAGGATGATGGGTTTATGGGGCTGGGTTTTATCTCCAGGGTTGAGGGTTTAGGGTCTAGATGGTACTTATGCTTTGGGGCTTTTGGCTAGTAGGGTTGAGGGTTTAGGTCTTATAAGGGTCTAGGGTTTGAGGGTTTCGGGCCTATAGGGTTGGGGTTCTATAGGGTTTTAAACTCCCGAGCCCTGATGACATTAAAGTGAAGGCCGAAGCCCTGAACCCTCACGACAACCGTCTACCCTACAACTCCATAAGAGTCTATGACCCTGTTATAAACCCAAGACCACGAGCCCTATAAACCCTGAACCCTAAACCCTAAACCCTTGAACCCTGACATCGGCCAATGTCGGCCCAATGTCGGCCACACGATACGTCAGCCAACGTCGGCCAATGTCGGCCAATACACAAGTCATACAAAAACCCTTTGGCCCCAGCGAATGGCCCCATGTCGGCCACATGTCGGCCAATGTCGGCCAGAGTTAGACCCCCAAGCCTGGTTGTCAGTTTTCAACGCCGCACT